AAAAAAAAAAAAACATTTCCAACTCCGCGTGTGGTTGACGGTGTGATCTCATGTGTGCAAACATCGCCTGGTCCGATACAGGGGAATCTGCGAGGCTGGTCTCCTCGAGAAATCACTGTGCACGTGCAAATAAAACTGGGGTCTCCTATCGGGTAAGGGAAAGAGAGATAAACAGACAGAGAAAGAGACTGATAGGCAGGTGAACTTCGAGAAAATAGGTAAATAGATAGGCAGATAGACAAGCAAGCCTGTAGGGCGACTGGAGGGCGCGAGGGAGAATATTTGACAAAGGTAGGGGGCTAAACGGAGGCAGAAATGTGCGAAGAGAGACCGGCAAAATGACACATGAAAGTCAGACGTGAAAACGAGGGCGATAACAAAGCCACTAGCAAGCGATATGGCTGCAATGATGTTTCCGCCAGATGGTTTCTGGCCGCTCTAGAGCCTCCGCCACGCTCACCAGTAATCTGCACCGGAAAAGACATCGAAAGGTAGTCAGCGTGTGTGAATGCCGATCACACAGGTGTTTGAACATTGAAGGTCGAACTCCCTGCCGTCGAGTCCGCTGCTGCCTTGAGAAACTCCTTCTTACGTTTACACGGAAAGCGTTGTTTTCAATCGCTGGGTGGCGAAGACAAGCAGCCGTCGCATCCACGCGCCTCGTCGCCGCCCCCCCACCATTTCGAACTATCGAAGTAATGACGCTGGCTCTGCCGTCCTTCCGTTCAAGGCTACCGTTCACAGCCTTCCCCTTGCCTTGCCACTGTAGATGGCGCCCTTGACCCCCGTCACATGAAAGCACGTTGGGGAATTTGGTACTAATGGATGTGGTTCAGTCAAACGAGAAGGCGGGAAAGGGTGGTGATATGTGAATGAGCACGGAAGACTTGGTTCCGACTCCGTTGTGGAGTGAAGCTCAGATTGATTACGCTAGATCGCTCATCACTCCGAGGTGTGCTGCCGTTAACCCGCCCCCCTGCCCAAGCCGCCCGCCCCGGTGTTTGCCATCGGGGTTGGGTTTTCGTCGCTTGGCAACGACGTTGTAAAACAAGCCGCTTCACTTCGTGAGCTCGGCAACCAGGTCACCGTTTTTTTTTTTTACCTCCGTTTTTTTTTTTGGCGGCAACCATAATGGTGGTCGAGTAGATCATGTTGTGCGGGGTGGAGAACCCTCACTCCGCGCAAGGGGGATGATCGCACCACGTTCTGTTCAAATGGTCAAGCACCCTCGAGGCAGTTACACAGTGCTTACAACTGTCTCTGGAAGTGAAAGCACCAGAAAGTAAATTAAGTCATACGCAGCTGTCATCCGTACGCAAGGAAGTAAGCACAAGATGCCGAACACCCTT